GAAAACTTCGTGCATTTTCCAGCAGCAAGCCTGGATCGACACTGATCTTGCGATGTTGGCCAACACAAGGCGTCCGGGTTATAGTCCTAATGGAGGTTTCAATGTCAGAGGGGTATTCGATGGCATAGCATATATTGCAACGTACTCACCATCGCTGACGGGTGACGGAATATCGTTGAAGCAAACACTTTGGCCTTATTTTCAACATGACAAAGGATAAATTAATACGCGTGGCCAGAAATCGCATTCTACACTAAACTCGGTGGACGGTATTGAGTTCCCGATGGATTTTTGTCTTCCGTCGGTGTAGCGGTTCTGATTAAGTATTAAATAAAAATGGCGCCTTAAAGACTGATATTCTATATGGCATCAGAATGACGAAGCTTTTGCTTAAAGATGAAACAGAATACAGAAAAATAAGCCTATTTCTTCTCTGCATTTCTTACAGACAATACTGAGACAAACATCTATCAGTAAGCTTGGAATACTATGAGCATTTTTTGGTCAGAATATTAAAATGTCGCAGCTTTCAGTACGTCTGCTTCGGTGAGATCTGCACATTCATGATAAGCTAAAGAAGTTTATTCTACAAACAGCGGGATAAATCAGAGAACAGAATAGGCATTGAGTGGAGTTGCCAATCGTCATTAACAGAACAGTTTGACTCACGAATTTTGTTTGTGAGATGCTGCGCCGGTGGTATAATCAATTTCAATTAAACAGGTAATTGCCGATTGTTGTTGCTTGTTGTTTGTTGTGCAGCTGTCGTATTATTATCGTCGTTTGATGCCATAGCATTATGTATAGAAACGGAGATCCTGCAAGTTTGTTAGAATAGTTGTCTCGATGCCGTTGAATACTAAAGGTAGACAAAGGTAAGGTAGAGGAGAACTATATGGAAGGAGTAACTGGTTTCTCAAGCAAAAAATTCGGCAAACTTCTAGGAGCACGCTAGAACTAGGGCGATCCTCCTATTATCCTCTGGATGAATAGTGCCGTAATGTGCTGAGTTGGCTTAAGGGTCCAAAAATCAGTTGTGTATTAACTATCCTACTATTATGATGGCAACATTTAAACACGACTACATTTATAGGCCTAGCATGGTTTTCATCCGTCTTCAAATGTGAAGAAGACTTCGCCTCAGAAAGCTCTGCTTGCAACGTGGAAAGCTACAAACGCTACAGTCATATCACGGATCGGACGAAGTATATTTTCTGCGACGGGCCTACAAAGTAAGTCTAGAACCATTTGTGTGCACAGCCAGAGTACAAATTTATGAATTGAAATGTAAGCTTGAAAATATACATTTCAAAATACCTTTGTATCCATTGCATTACAGTGTTTGGTAACCAAACTAATGGCATTTGTGTCAGATGATTGTCATTATCAGTTGTTATTCCAAAGTACTTGAAAGTGCAGATTGAGTATCACAAATAAACAACGGTTGATTACAAAGCAGTGCATAATGGGCGACCGTCAGTCCATAGCAGCACCAAACAGAGAAGCGATTCGTCGTCTCGTAGCAGCAGCTGCAACAAGGTTTTCCTTTGACTGCCGGACGATTACTTGTTAAGCAGTGAACGATTAATTTTGCTCTCTCTATGTCTGTGGAAGCATTCATATCCATTTTAGTAAATGATACCTAGTTGACACCTTCCGTTCAGAGGAGACGATATTAAGGATTATCCTGTGCAACAGTCCTTCTGCTCATGCATAACTGTTGTCAGCGATTTTACATTTGGTTCAGTTTCAGATGTCGTTTCTCTTAGACTTATGTTTACGCCATCTCCAGAATTTCAGTCATCTCTCAGATGAGTCAGTAAGAACTGCAACCGGAGAGCGCAAGCACCAGACAGCATGAAGGTCCATCATGCATCCTACCACGTGACCAGACCAAAACACCATGCTGTCGCAGACATTCGTCTGTCAATAGCCAGCAGCCCGTCTTTCGCTTGGTTGCACCGAAATGCAGTGTACTGAATTGCTTGCTCAACGGAATTTACAAATAATTAGAGAAAATATATAACGAGTATCTCACGTTTGAATCCGGTAATGTAAAGCAAACTACTCGCTGCCCCCCTTTTTCTTACTGTTTGTTCTGTACAGTGTCGATCCAGCCTAGTAACGATATTTGATTCAGACGTTGCAGTTTCTTTTCATAACTAATGACAAACTACCGATTTCCAATTTTGTGAAAAGCAGGTGTTGAGGCTCAGATCACTTTCGGACCCAGTCAGGGATGATGTCATCTTAAAAGTTTTGAAAAGGCCGTACTTGGCATCATATCCGTAGTCTTCGATGGATTCGAGTTCTGTTTTGTTGTCAGTTCAACTTTCATATCAATACAGTATAAGCGACTCCACTAAATTTCTTAATATCATAGTTGGTCTTGGTCACTGGCAGAGAGAAGATGTTTGTTTTCCTGGTTCCTTCGCTGAGGATCGTAAACGATGGGTCACGGTCTATTCACCTGGCTTGCATTAACCTGTTTTCTCCCAATTTTTGAAATAACAAAATATTCGTCTTCTCTCAGCACATGTGCCACATACTAGTTTCTGTAAGTAGTTCTAAAATGATTATTCTCACATGATGACTGACACCAATTGAGTCGAAGCGTTGAAATTTCTGTAAATAAAACCGCTCTTGTTTTTCGTGCTGCCAACCATCGAGTCAGAAGGCTTATGACCTTAAAATTCTTCCATGAGCGGTATCGGTCTGTGTGTTAGAAATTACTTTTAATTGTTCCACCTCTTTCAGTTTCATCACAGGTAGTACTCGGTCCGGAGACCGCATCTTCAGCGTGCCGAAATTACTGACCATATGGAGATTACCATACATCAGTGTCCGATCAACGATTAAGAAGTAAGCAGCGAGTGGCCGGTGGCATGTGGTGCAAGATTTCAGCTGAGCCATGGTCAGAGTCCACGCTTTTCTTCCTTGTGAGTTTGATAAATGAGTAATGCTCTGTGGGAAAGGAACAAGAGACTGCACCCTGTGCATGTCACGTGACTGATGCCGATTATGCATTTGAGAAATGGGGATAAACGCCCTACAATTGGCTTCATGGAAAGAAGGGCGTCAGAATGGTCTATCGCGAAAGTGTAAGGAATGTCGGCATTTCGAGTTTTCCCTCCTTTACTCACAATGTATCGCGGAGTTGCACTCCCTGATATGCAATGCCTAGAAATGGTATTTAGAGATAATTTTATAATGCTGAAGTCAATCAGTAAGAGTCCAGCTGCGTATTCAAATGTACAGCTGTCGTAACCAATCAGAGCTAACCATTACTCAGAACCTTACACCATGAAAATTATCATGTTTGAGCCATGCCATCCACCCGTGAATGAATCACTGGGGCCTGTATGGTCGTCATATGCAATTCCGCTGGCGGTTGGCTGAATGCCCGGTCATGTTCGATTCATACTATCTACTATTCACAGGTGATGATCCAGAAGCCCTCATGGATGAACTGTGCAAGCAATTGAGAGAAGAGGTTTAACACTGAGTAATGCCTGGATCGAGTTACGTCAATCGTCAACTGGCGCCACCTTCTCGCACGTAGTGTGACAGTGGTCGACTCATGGCCTTCTCAGGAAAAATAGCTGTCCGTAGGGTACGCATGGCTATCTGTATAAGTTTCATTTAATAAGCTAATCACGTTTCGAACCATACTTGTCTATTTGTCAAAATTCAGTGACAAAGGCAGATGTCACAAAAGTGAATCCTCTCGGTCAAATTCTGAATCAGCGAGGAAGCTTTAAGGTTGATAGTTGGTTATTATAAGCTGACGTCTCGAAATTACTCAGATCTATGACATTGTCCGTGTTGAAGCAGCTGTTGGCCTTGATGGACCGATACCTCTGCACCGCATGTCATATTCACTATCGCAGGACTCCTGTGTGCCGATAAACATTGAATTATTCTTTACAGTGGTTGGTGCGTTATTCGTTGCCTAATTGTGTAAATACACACAGGAAGTATCAGGTGCGAAGCTGCCAGAACGTGGACGGCGTTCAGTACGTTTTCGACCAGAAACAACGTGTCTGCGTTTTTCCAAATGAGAAGCTGAACGCACCGCAGTTGTCGGGTGCTATTCGTCTGAAAGCGGGACGGTTCTGTCTGGAGACACGCGACTGTCCGTCATCGATGGACTGCCGCGAATTTCGTTGCCGGTGTACGATGGGCTCCATTGAAATCAACCGCTATTGCTACAACGGTAAACAGGGAAACACATGGGCAACGACGCGTACTATCGACAGCTTTTATAGAGTCGCAGATATGTCCAGATTCCTCGACTACCCTCACTCGCAGCAAAGAGGTCACTCAGTGCAGAAACGATACGGACTGCGCTAGCCAAACCGGACACGTGTGTCGGAAACATCAGCTGCAAGAACCAGTCAGTATTTGTTGTCCAACGCGGAATCAAGGTGCTCAGCCGCTATTATTTAACGGGTAGTGATTCCGTACCGCAAAATTGTGTCACATGACATAAATGCTACTCTTCAACGACTCTTTTATTTGTCACTCCAAGGAAGATCTTGAAGACTAGCCGTAAACTGTCGTGTTCACTTTCGGTTAAGTCATATGACATATCTGTGGCAAAATACCAAAGTATACGCGATAGAGTTTCGACGCATGCTCTTGTATAGGGTCTATTATTAGTCGAAATGCGGCACACCAATTCTCCATAATGTATTTTCCTACAGAAATTTGTTACACAGACCATAACTTTGCCATAGCTTTGGGGAATAGATTCGGCAGGATTTCTGAACATTAGTATTTTATTATAATCGAGTATGCATTATATGCGATATATACCACTAATGACAGGTTATGTCACATTATTAGTTTGATTAATTTGCTGCCTCTTTTGTTCGTGAGGAAGCCTAAATTTGTAGAAGATGAGGGAACGCTGCAATGATGTACTGACCAATACGTCATAAAAAGCTTTACATCTCTAAATCTGTTGGGTTGAATGAACACTGCTGATACATTTGCTACAATTAACGACAGCTGTCGCCAAGAATGAACTGCCGAATATGCATTTGCCAAAAAATCTCAAGACAGAAACAGTTTTGAGTAGCTTCGAGCTGTATTTATAATGATCTGACAAGCGCGTGAAGTCGAATTCACGAATTCTACCGAATGTTGATTTTCAGTCATCAATCAAATCGTTGACGATTAATTACAGTCGTATGACGCAGGTTCTTTGGAATTGACGTACCAGAACCATATTTCTCCCTGGTTCACAAGTCACAGTTTTGCACTCGTTTCTCACCCGCCTGTACAGAAGTACAGTCCGCAATGCGAAAGCATCCCTTTCCGTAATAAAAAAGTATGCTTTGACGTATGTTTACCGAAATTAATTTGGATTTACGTTTTTTATTCCATCTCATCATTGTAATAATGAATTAAAATATTTAGAAGTCTGCTGGCCCTGGGCTCCACAGCTTAAGAACGGCGTTCTTGTCGGCTGTTCTCCTACCGCGTCGGACTCGTGCGACAGAGGTTTCAGTTGTGAGTTCGATCGTTCTAGCTTTAATCATTACTGTTGTCTTAAACGTACATCGCCAGAATGGACAACAACCCAAACGCCTCCCACTACGACACGTATGTCAATTTATTTCCTCACGTTTATTTACGTAATAATATGCAAATTCAGTGCTCTATTCCTTGACTCTCGAACCTTGTTACCGCGCCGAATCGTACCTGATCAACGGACAACCGCTGAGCTGCACACCCGGATCACAAGACGGCTGTCCGGATGGCTACCTCTGCAGCCTTCATAAAACGATTAACATAGGATTTTGCTGTGGTAAACCAAGCCGGCCATTCACCGAACATGAGCCAGAATCCGTGATAAACCGGCCGTCATTTAATGGTACTTCTTTATGACAAATGCTCGATGTTTGAAAGCAAATTGACATGTTTTTAGACGGTTGCCCACCTCGCATGTTTGCTTTGCGCAACGCCGACGAGCAGGTGATCGAATGTGATATCCGTCAGAAGAAGCCCTGCTACAACGACGCAATTTGCCAGTACAATTGGATCAAGCAAGGATTCCAGTGTTGCTCATCAGAGCGTATGTTCGAGTCTCCCATCCCTCAAACGTGGCCTTCCTCCCCAGCTGCCGTGCAGACGTCAGTCGAAAGTAAGTCACTTCAGCCGTCTAAAGTTTAAAGTGGCCAGCTTTCAAAGCACTAGATTTTCGTTGTTGTTGTCATCGTCATCTAGGTATCATGGTCAAGGAGAGAGTACCCAGATTAATGACGTCTGACCTTTCGCTTTTCAGAACCATCTAAGAGCAGTGTTGATTGCTGAGGCAGAGGTCATGTTCTTCTTCGCAAGAAAGTCCTCCTCTTGCAGCTGCTCTTAAGGACGCAGTGATCGCCTCTAACGCGCCTGTGGCAATCTTTTGTTTCACACAGGAAAATGGTTTTGGGTAAGTCGCCGTTCTCTGTCCGAACGGTTCTATCGAACAGCGAAAAACACCGCTCCCGGAAGTGTTTTTCAGACAGCATTCTCAGGCCGGTCCTTTCCAACATTTTTTCATTCATAATTTGATGAGACCATCACACAGACAGCACTGCTAAAAAATGCCCATCTTTTCATGGGCATCAGGATTGGGAAGACGGCGACATTCAGCGCGGTGGTCATGCCAGACTTTAAAATATCACCTGAAGTTCACAAATGCCAGTCCTAAACGCCGCTTCTATTTCTTGCCCTTACGAAGCCGAGGTATTTGGAGTTTTCGACCTCCTCGATGGTCCTTCCATTCCATTGAATTTTTGAATCGTAATCGAGTCAAGTGCTGCAAGATCTTCGTTTTCGGGGGCTGGGGGGGTTGACTTCTATGCCTACCGTCGAGGCCTCCATGCACACTTCTCGAGTAGGTGCCAGTAACAATTGGCGGAGTCGCTCAGCGGTACACTCTCGTCAACATATACGAGATCTCTTATGAGTACTATCCTTTCAGCAGACCGACGATCTTCTGCAGTTCTCTGTAGCGTCGCAGTATGCGCTACAAGGACTGACGGCGTACGAGTCGAAAGCTGCTCCTTCCTTAAGAAATTTAGACAATGATTGACCTTGAGCGGAATCATACCCCGGACTTCCAGAGTTCGAAGCAGACGCCCCAGACAATTATGCAAATTCGTAATGGTA